GCCACCCTTGCACAAAACGACGATAATTTTCCTAATTTCATAGACAACAGAAGACTGTATTTTTTCTGCATAACCTCCCCCTGACGGAGCTGGATCCGCCCCTGTTAAAGAAGCGTTTTCTATCGAAGAAAGTTAAGAAAATGATCGAAGGTTTCAGCAATTTACAGGTAAACTTGATGCATTGTCGAGTTATCAAAGTTTTGAAGAGCCCAGTTTTAAAAGCCAACTAACAAACTTTTCAATCGTCATTTTTCCTAAATGTTTCCTGAGTTTTTAAGCAAGTTTCTCAATGTTTTCCTGTAGCGATGGCGGGGCAAATGATCAATGAACTACTTTAAAATATTAGCTAATAGCAAATTGGAGAGTTCAACTTCAAGAGCTGATATCTTTAAGAAATAAACTCGRTATCTTTTTGAAAKTTTYTCCATGCTCTTCTACACACCTTAAAAATAATTGCGCGACTTTTAAATTATCCTTGTATAYGCATAGTTTAAATAGAGCAAATTAAAAAGCAAATTAATGCTAAAAACATTATTATWAATTTTTTTCGTCCATCGATGCCGAGTTGAAGACTAGAAAGCCAAATTAATGAAACGAAACGAAATCAAACTTTAAATTTATAAACATAAATGCAGAATTAAGATCACGGAATAGAAAACAGACGTGCAAATGTCGTTAAGCCAAAAACAAAAGAAAATTTTCTGAGAAAAGATCTTCTGAGTCTGCAGTAGATAATTTTGTCTGTGTTTTTTTTAGTTTCAGTTTGAAATTGTTCTTGAAAACATTTTCTGCGATTTTCGCTTTCATGTTCTATGCCACGTTGAACAAATTGATGAACCTACTAATATACGAATGGAGATGTTTTTTTACGTTTGACCAAATATGAAAGAATCACAGTTTTTTTTATGGTTTACATACAAAAACCGCAATTGATCTGCTTGCTCTGTGGCTCATCATTTTTAGCATAACGTTGATTTATCACTTAGATAGATCCGACCTTTAGATGGAATTTTCAATAATAAATACATATGAAAGATCGTTAGGCAACACTTTGAAAAAATGTAAAAAAATTCAACATTTGTTTGTGCTTAGTTTTGTTCTTCAACGTTATTAACAGATTTGTTCACACACATCTAAAGAATCTTCTGTTTTGTTACGAAGCACGGTCCTGTTGCTTCTGCAAATACAGGCACTTGACAAGAAAAATGTGCGATATTTTCGTCAATAGTCCATTCCACAGTCAAATTGAAAGACATTTTCCTCCCATCAATTCGCAACTCACGCATTTTTATTAGTTCTCTTTATAGGGGCTCTGATTTTGCAAGCCATGCTCCAAAGGGCTCGCGATGTTGTTATTGGATTTATGGAAAATAAGGGTTTTGATTATGTCACACAGGGAAAAGTTGGTGAAACACTCTGCGGGAAATTCGAATTGTAAACGGGTGCATTGAGGAGTAAATGAAAAGTTTCTCGATGAAAAACCCGTGATATACTGATGAAGTTCGTTTCACAGTTTATTCTTGAGGTCGATTTTATCTTGGGAGATTCTGCGGCTTAAACTAACGTGGAGAATGTTCCTTATTTATGTAGGTACAATTTGCAACATTCTTTTTAATCGGAGCGTTTTTAGGGTCTCAAACTGTATTTTTCATGAGTGCCAGAGAAAAATTACGTAAAAGATTCTTCAATTATTCTTATTCCAAGAATGCAGGAAAATTAATTAGATTGAGAAACCTTAGGGTGCATTTCATTCATTATGGCATGAAGATTCGAAGTAGAAATCTGAGGAATTCGACGATCTCTACTGTTTATTATCAGGTTACGCTTAAAATCTCGAAATAATTGCTCCGTTCGGGTATTTTTAACTCGCGTTCTTTTAAAAATAATCCCGAGGATTACGCCACACTTTCAGTATATGCCACATTGTACTTGAAGTATTTTTGCTCTATTTTCAGAGATTGATGGGAAACGCATAGTTCGGTAATATTTAATTATATCCAGAACGATGGAAAATGCATTTCAAATATACATAGTAGTCTGGTTTTACAATGTAATCGATCAGTTGTTGATTAAAACCGGACTTAATGATGGAGGAAATTGATTTAAAGAATCCAGGAGAAGATTCAAGAGCAAATGTTTATCTTCAAACTTAAAATAGTGTTTTTGTTTCCAAAATAAAAATACTATTTTTCATGAGCCGCATTCAGAGGTCTAAATCGAAAAACAGAGTGGTTTCCGTCTTATATATAGTAGAAATCATCTCACAGTCAATTAAAGGTATTCATTTGGTCGTTATTATTAAAGAACAGAGAAACCAGCATAAGAGTAAAATCAAATATATAAAGTACAAAATGCAACATTATTTTCCCTTTGATGGTTCTAACAACAAATTGATGCAAGCGTGTTTGTTTGATTAATTTGTGTTGCTGATTGTTGCGCACTTTTCAAGCCCTTTCCACAGTTAATAAGTGGATGTGAGGACAAATGTGCAAATACCTCTAAAAACTGTTTGTGAGGGAAAATAGTTGGTGTCATGTTGCCCCTTTGTTTTTTGCAAAGTAGTATTTGATGAATCCACAGACGCCTATCGGGTGCACATTTAAAAAATATTTTTGTAATGTACAGATTGTCCTAAAAGCCCTAAAAGTATCAAAGTTGTGTTTTTCTAAATGAAATACCCTAGATATTATTGCATTTTTGGATTCTCTGAGCAAAATAAGTGTTTGTTTTAATAAGATTTATAATGTCTAAATCTAAAGGTTGTTTAAATAATTCGAATTTTATCAAAATCTAATATTATTTTCATGTGTCAAATACTTTAGAATTATTTAAGTTATGTAAACGTAATTCGTAGTCTGGTGTAACAAGAAATCATATTTAATATCCCAAT